CAAAGTAACATTTCAAGCCATCACAGAGGAAACACTTCCACTTGCTTCTGAGTAGACAAAGATTACACTACTAAAGTCAAAAGGCTGCCTTTCACCTTTTTTCTCCATTAAATTCCCACATAGGGATCTTCTCATATTAGACTGTTCAGAAAAAGGGAGAAATAGGTGTAGAAAGCTACATTTTGCCATTGTTATATTGTGATTTTTATATCAAAATTAGCTTGCACGCTCTAGCGTTTAAAACGGGTCACATTTTTCACATGTGTACAATATTAAATATAGTTGAGTGCCATATTGGGCAAGTGGACAAATTGCAAATTGGTCTACCCAGATGCAAAGACTGAATAGGATAAAGCATCTTGTTCCTCAAAGATTGAGTAGGATAAGCATCTTGTTCCTCAAGAAAGAGGATGCTTCCAGTTGCTGTGTCAGGGAATGTCTTTATTTTTCTGTCTACCATGTAAATCGTACATTACCTTTTTCAATGTTTAGGAAGTTTTCAATTCTAGGAATTGAAGTCCACATGTCTTACAGTTGACAAATTTGAGGAACACTGCACTCAACTGTTCAATCAAGGAGGCACCCTCTACCCTGTGAAGACTTATTCCAACAGAATACTTCAGCAAGCATATTGCACCAGGTATATTTAAGGAAATGTGAAATCTGACAAGTTGACAAGCTTTTCAATAATTCACAGGAAATCTGGCAGACAGCCATCCCAACAGGTAACAGGTACATTTTATTTTATATACAGGTAGTCCTCGATTTACAACAGTTTATTTAATGACCGTCCAAAATTACATCACTAAAAAAATGACTTATGACCATTTTTCACACTTACAACTGTTGCAGCATCCCCGTGGTCAGGTGATCAAAGTTCAGATGCTTGGCAACTGACTCATATTTATGACGGTTACAGCATCCTGGGATCACGTGATCATCTTTTGTGACCAGCTGACCAGCAAAGTCAATAGGTAAACCAGACTCACTTAAGAACTGTATTACTAATTGCAATGCTTCACTTAACAACTGTGGCAAGGTTGTAACATGGGGCAAAACTCACTTAACGAATGTCTCGCTTAACAACCTAAATTTTGGGCTGTTGTGGTTGTAAGTTGAGGACTACCTGTACACCCCACCTTCCCACCAAGAGGGTACTCTCTTCCCCCTTTGCCCCCCTCCCATGAAAAGCCCTGTTTTAGTAGATGAGAAACAGTAATGGGGCCCATGTTGTCCAGGAGGATCCATGGATTAAGACTAGACTTCATGTTCAGAAGAGATTGAAAAGCAGGAACAGATGGCAATTCAGCATAACAATATGCTTGCAGCCTGGCACGTCAGTGAGATTCAGGGACACCGTTTCAGAAAAAGGTTTAAGAGGGTTAGAGCAGGGATGGGGAACTTCTGACCTCACTGATGACAAAAATGTCCCTTACTATTTTTCCCCTATGGCCACGCAAATGGCTTCCATGGTAATTCACAAATATCAGGGACTCAGGAACATGACGTTCCTTATTGTTGGTATAGAAATAGCAGATTTAGTACGCTATATTTTAATCTGTATCCATTGTTCATTCAGACTAGCTGGCCAATCATTCCACGACAGCAGAGGTCCCCAACCTTTTGGCCACCAGGGACCAGTTCCGTGGAGAGAGGCTTTTCTGGAGAGTGCGTGGTTTTGTGTGCTGCCTGCATCCTGCAGATGGGGCTTTGCTTGTTTTTGCGGACCGGTTTCTGGCGTGCCACGTCCCGGTACTGGTCCACGGACCGGGGGTTGAGGATCCCTGCACTACAGGTTGTCCTCAATTTACAACAATAGAGCCCAAAGTTTCTGTTGCTAAGTGAAACACTTAAGTGAGTTTTGCTCCACTTCACAACCTTGCTTGCTACAATTGTTAATCACGAATTGCTGCAGTGGTTAATTTAGTAACACGGTTGTGAAGTGAATCTGGCTTCCCCTATTGATTTTGCTTGTCAGAAGGTCACAAAAGGGGATCACACATGACCTTGGGGATGTTGCAACGGTCATAAGTGTGAAAAATAGTCATAAGTCACTTTTTTCAGCACCACTGTAACTTTGGTCAGTCACTAAATGATCTGTTGTAAGTCGAGAACTACCTGAAATTCTCTTTAGTGGGGAAAAGTGGGGGAGGGGGGGAAATGAACATTTTGTCTGCATCCCAAGGGCATATCACTTGAAACTGGTCCTCTGGAAGTACCCGCCTTCTCTTGTGGATACGTGATACTCCAGGATTCAGTTGGGGGAGATAGGGTGGGGGAAAGAGGAAGGAAACAGTATTTTTCTCCCCCAAATTTAAAAACAACCGTGATTCTCGTGAAGCCTAGTTGACCAGTTTAAGAGATGTTATGATTTATTGTCTACCTTCACAGCCATTTGTATTTTTAACATAACAGTTATGGAAAGAATACCTAACTAGATGGAAAACCTGGGCAAGATGGTATGAAATCACCTTAACCAAGAGTTTTGCACTCCAGAGATTATTATGGGCTGGAAATATTGGAAGACACTTCTGCACAGGAGTAACACAAAATCCTTTTCCAACTACGAATAGTCCTCAACTAACAACCGTTCATTTATTGACTGTTCAAAGTTATAACGGTGCTGAAAAAAGTCACCTCGGACCATTTTTCACACTTATGACCGTTGCAACAGTTTTGATCATGGTTACATGATCAAAATCTGGATGCTTGTCAACTGGCTCATATGTATGACGGTTGCAGTGTCCCAGAGTCATGTGATCCCTTTTTGCGAACTTCTGACAAGCCAAGTCAATGGGGAAGCCAGATTCACTTAACAACCGTGTTACTAGCTTGTCAACTGCAGTCATTCACTTAACAGCTGAAGCAAGAAAGGTCGTAAAATGGGGCAAAACTCATTTAAAACCGTCGCTCAGCAACAGAAATTTTGGCCTCAGTTGTGCTTGTAAGGTGAGGACTACCTGTATCAGGGCTGCCAAAGTAGGCCTCATGGGAGAGTCAAAATGAAACAACGCAACAAGTTGCTTCATTTCCACTTTTGGAAGGGAAAGACTGGGGAATTCTGGGAGTTAAAGTCCACATTTTAAAAAAAACACTGATTTAAAATGTAAAAGGAGTGTTCTAGAAGGGAGAGGGGGGAAAAATGGAAGACTGATTTGGAAGGATGTGCCTGGCTTTTGCCTAGTGAAGTTAGACACAAGTGGGACCCAATCCTGTGATCGCCATGGTACAAATATGGAATCGCAGATTACAACAGTGTTTCTGAACCTTGGTAATTTTAATATATATATATCTTAAAATTACCAAGGTAACTCCCAGAATTCCTCAGCCAGCATTCTGGGAGTTGAAGTCTATACATCACAAAGTTATCAACGTTGAGAAACCCTGAATTAGAATCTGTAGTGTAATAGCCATGGGTTCCTAGGCCATCCAGCACACATCAAAAAGTTGCTCATCCCCATTAAAATATTTTTTTTAAAACAGAAAGTGTTGAAATCTCATGTATCCATAAATTTTGCAGGACTTCAGCTCATTTATGTGGAATCACAGGATTCCAGAGCTTCTTTGCAAGATCTTAGGACAGGGGTCTTCAAACTTGGCAACTTTAGGACTTGTGGACTTCAACTTCCAGAATTCCTCAGCCAGCCCTGGCTGGCTGAGGAATTCTGAGAGTTGAAGTCCACAAGTCTTAAAGTTGCCAAGTTTGAAGACCCCTGTCTTAGGACAATCCTTGAAATCTTACAAAATGTTATGGGAGCTCTTTTGATAAGAGCTAGAGGACTGAACAAGGTTGCCTGCTTGTCATCACTGAGCTCATGGCCTTCAACAAACAGGGGGCCACACAGAAGGGTGTAGGAGAGACTCGAGCTCCTTTACAAAAGAAATACCAAAGAGATACAAAAAACAGTTTATACCCCCATCTTCAGCCATCATACCTCCCCTTCCTAAGAACATGATTTTCCACCTCCAGAATTGAGAAGTTATTCATCTCACACTTTTCGTGGAAAAGAGGTGGTGTCATCTGAAGAAAAATAAAACATGCTTGCCCAAATAGACATCCATTTGGTTTTATCTTTTTGATAAAAGGAACGATTTCTGCCTACAGATCTATTTAACTGATGTTCTTTAACAGATATTCATTTTGATTAGATTTTTCAGGGGTTCCTCCTAAAGCCCACATTATCAGCCACAAATGAATGGTGACCCCCACTTTTTTCCTCGCTTTTGTCTCTCTCTGCCTTTTCTCTCCCTTCCTCTTCACCTGAAAGCTGGGTTGGAAGAGAAAATTCTGGGTATACATCAGAAATGGAATGCTTCTGAAGACGATTTGGAGGCAACCAAGTGATTCCTAGATGAAGCAGCTTAGAAAAATATTCACTAAAGGAAGGAGCACATGTTACAGATTTAAGACCCTAGTCAGCCTTCCTTTACATTACCCACCTTTTATTTCATTTTCCATTGATTTTATTCCTTTACTCCTTTTCGTTATTGCAAAATATTGCAGCCTACAGATTAGCACACTGAAAGTCATTTGCTCAGACAAGAAGTGTCCCAGAACTATTTTTTTTTTTTTAGAAAAACCAAGAAAAGAAAGAAAAATCAGAAAAAAAAGGATCTTGCTTAGAAATAAGCAATAAGATCCCTGGAGGACTGGCCATTGACAGTACATAATCTGACCAGTAGGTGGAGTTCTAAGCTTGTTTTGGCTCCGAGGTCTTTTTAAGCAGAAAGTTAGATCTGGAGAAACAGTGTTGGTCAAAGTTTCCCCAATGGGTTCATGATTCTTGCTTAGCTACCAAATGAAAGGCATTAACGGATGAGGAGGACAAGATGGAGTCACTGTAGTTGTCCCTCTGGGAACACCAAATCTCCAGCAGAACTGACAACGGCCTTGAAAATGCTTTGCCCTACTCCATTTATCTTGGTGGCTTGACGTTGTTGTTGTTGTTGTTTGCAAACGTCCCTAAAGGCTTGTTCACTGTAGGCAGGCAAAGAAGCAATTATCCAGAGCTAAAAAAAGAACAGAAAACCAGTGACATAAGATTATACCTCCATGTTGCAGCACAACATGCTTCAGAGACATTTGGAGAAACACAGATTGAACAAAGAGCAAAGTCAAACCAGGAGCTACTCTGTCTGATAATACTGTATTCATATGTTCTAAAACAAGGGCAAGGAGAAATAGAGGTACATAAATGGGAATTCCATTTGCAACCTTTACCCAAACTCAGATAATTTCTCATCTATACCACAAAAGAAATGTTTCTCAACGTTGTCAAGTTTAAGATGTGTGGATTTCAACTCCACACATGCTGGCTGGGGAATTCTGAGAGTTGAAGTCCACACATCATAAACTTGACAACATTGAGAAACACTGCACTAGAGAAAAAGATGTCCCCAGCTGCCTCTTATCTGCTTATCGTCTAATATGCACCCCTTCCTCCTGTCTCCCAAGGTCAGTCCTCCATGCCATTACATCTACTCCTAAAGGCAGAGTTCAATCATTTCTCCATTTCTGGAGAGAATCAGAGCAAATGCAAAAATACTGCACCATTGGGGAAGAGAGACCAATGTATGAGATGACCAGGCTGAGCTCAACGAAGAAATCAAATGCATCCTAAGTCTTGAACCCCTTCGTGTCCCCAAGTCCAACCCACCTGGAATTTCATTGACTCTTGTTTACCATCAATTTGCTTTGACTATTAGTAGTTCAATTCTTGTAGAGAGTTTAAGCTTGCAATAAACCCTTATATACATTTGAACTGCCTGAGTTTCCTGGTGTCCAAGCTTGAGAGCCACTGCCCTAAGCAGTATGTGGTTAGGGAAAGGGAAGGAAAACTACTTTCCTATAGTTCTTCCAAAGGCCTGGTGGGGAATCAGAGTCTCAACTGATAAAAGCCACTTACGTGTACAAAGGCTGTAGCTGCAGGTGTGACATCTTTTGGGGTGCCTGGTAGCCGTAGGAATCAAACCCTCCAATGAAATCAACTGTGGGTGAAAAGACAAGAGGGTGATTGTTCTGGCAAACAGCTAGACAAAGTAATGGTCATTATCTTACTCAAAAGAAGTAATTTAAAGCAGAGGTCCCCCAACCCTTTGGGCACCAGGGACTGGTTCCATGGAGAAAGGTTTTTCCATGGAGGGAGCGTGGTTTTGTGTGCTGCCTACATCCCGCAGATGGGGCTTTGCTTGTTTGTGCAGACCGGTTGCTGGCATGCTGCGGACCGGTGCTAGTCCATGGACCTGGGGTTGGGGACCCCTAATTTAAAGAAAATTGCAATAAAGCATCTAGCATGCTGGCTGGGGAATTCTGTGAATTAAAGTCCACACATTTTAAAATTACCAAGTTTGAAAAACATTGCAGTAAAAGAACAAGAGAGTTGTTCTTAAGTTGCCAAGGCAGATATTCATGGATGAACCTCAGATTTTTTTTCCTAACATTTTTTCTCTTCCTTCAACTATTGGTTTGCAGGGGAAAAAATCAGTTCAGGAGTTCCCACTTTTTCCTCTACCTTTTTTAAAAATTTGCTTGCTTGTTTGCTTGCACTGACGGGCACATCAAAAATAAGCAAAGCAACAAAACTATTTACAGGTAGTTCTTGATTTACTACCTGTAAATGGTTTTATTGCTTTACTTATTTACTATCTGTTGCTAAGTGAGACATTTGTTAAGTGAATTTTACCCCATTTTACGACCTTTCTTGCCACAGTTGTTAAGAGAATCACTGCAGTTGTTAACTTAGTAACACGGTTGTTAAGTGAATTTGGCTTCCCGATTGACTTTACTTGTTAGAAGGTTGCAAAAGGTGATCACAGGGAAGAATTGTCTACAAAGATCACTCATTTAGTGAAAAGACTTCCCGACCCATCATCCTTTAACTGGCCAAGGAGGGGAACCCAAAGTCTCCCCACAGGGTAAAGTGAAGGTGGAAGAAAGTCTGATGAATAGCTGATGCTGGAACCTATGAGACATTTGTTAAATGAGTTTTGCTCCATTTTGCAATTTTGCTTGCCACAGTTGCTAAGTGAATCACTGCAACTGTTAAGTTAGTAACACGGTTATTTATTTATTTATTTATTTAATCCCATTTATACCCCGCCCTTCTCCCGAGGGACTCAGGGCGGCTTACAGGTAAATAAAAACAGTACAATACAATAAATATCTCTAAAAGCCAAATTAAAATATATATTAAATAACCTGTATTAAGTTTAATATTATAAAATCCCTTTAAAATCCCTATAAAATCCCCCCCTAGGC